ATGTTGAGAGTGAACTTGCTTCGCAGTGGACAATAACAACGGTGTTACTGAGGTGACAGTTTGGGTCGGATGTTTACAATTTGGACACATTTTGGTGTTCCAACAGAACTGACTTTCCCAACAAATATGAATAGTGTTTGGATAGATAAAGCTGGTCAACATTAAGCTACTGCCACAACTCAGACCTGTTGCATATTTGTGGACTCCATCAATTTTGACTTACATAGAGGTCAAATATAAGTTAAAACTCTGTATGAATTTTTGTGAAATTCATACAGATTTCACAAAAAGCATTTGGCAGACATTAAAACATTCAAATAAATATTATTGAGAGAGTATGTTATGGCTGCATACAAAGGATTACACTCTGTAGGTTAGAGGCAGAAAATAATGAATGCAGTGTTCAAACTCGTCCAACTAAAAATTGGAAGCAGAATTGAGACCTATTGTGGAGAAGTACAAACAAAAGGCACAAGATTGCTTTGAGGAAAAATGTGCTTTTATCCACAAAGAGAAAGGACATCTCTTCCTTCATCCAAAGGAATATTTCAAAGCTGCCTATTTGTTTTGTTTTCTCTTGCTTTTGAAACTGCACAAATGAGTCAAAGGGAAAAGATTTTGGCAATTCTTTTCAGAGAGATAAATTAAGAGAAAGTGAGAGTTAGAAATGATATAGTTTGAAACCACTTCCCTCCTACTACAGTCATCTGTCACCTTTTTGTTCTGAGGTTGTTGAGATTTAAAAGAAACTTCTGCAGCTATTTTGAAGGTTTATTTAAAAGAAGTGTTCTCATTACAGAAACTCTCACTAAATGTCCATGGTCATATTGCAGGATGAACAGCGATGAGAAAATGACCTTTTTCATACATTATTATAAATTTGTTCTTCACGTTCATCAATTCTTCTTTCCAAATCAAATCCAGGGGTTTCTTGTTGTGATTTTTCCAGCTGAAATGAAATTTTGGAGCATTGTTTTCTTCCAAAGAAGTGTTAGTTGTGTTTCAGTGTCAATTAAACAGTTTCATGTCTCCAGTTCCTTTTCCATATTGTTGTCATTTGGTGCACTCACTTCCCCTGATGTGGTCAGTGTGGCTGCTTGATAATCAAACATGCAGTTTTTATATGGAACATGAACAGGTCTTTTGTTTTTACCGATGTGACGTTTTCCCCGTGACAGTGACTTCGCTGAGCTCACAACTGACACTGTCAAATGTCAAAAGTGAAACATTTGCCAATGATTAACAAAACACAAACAGAAATTTGGATCTGCTTTTTGATCCGACTGAATGAAGGGAGGTGGAAACCCATCCCCTGCACACACACGCACACACGCGCACAAACACACCCAAATGCACACACACTCAGGGGTTTTTCTAGCCTACTGCATAAATACTCCAGGACCATGCTGGGTTTAGACAGACAAGACACATCCTTTCTCTGATCTGCTTTCAAGTTCAACATTTTTGGATCAATCAAGGTAACCTATATTCATTATATATTTATTTTAATGTTCTCTGTTATTTGAATGTATAGCATACTGTTGAATTTATTAAAAAATCAGCTGAAGGAACAAATGCTTGCTTAAATTTTAGCTTAAATTATTAATCACATAAAAAGTACTTGATATGTATTGTTTATTCAATATTTTCCTTGATAATATTGAATAAACAATATTATCATTTTTAATATTTGCAAATACTCTAATGCTGGAATATTTAAACCCACTGGTCCTCAGCCTGAAATCATCAGGTGAAAATATGTGTTAGATGAAAAGAAAGAAAATAAAATGTATATTATCTATTGAAGCTCAGGTCTTTCCGTCCCTACCAGATTGGATGTTTGTTTCTTTGTAATTTATAAATACATACTATTTGTAGCTCTGAAACTATGAAATATTTCTGACCTAGTTTAATAACTTCACATATCTCAAAACAGCTTTTCATGTTTTTTTATGTTTTCTCACCTCTTACAGATGCAGTTGTTGCTCCTGTTGGTTCTGAGTGCCAGCCTTTGCTTTGTCAACTCCAGTAGCATCTGGACTCTAATGGACAATGGTTTTTATCTCTTTTCTTTTTTGCTTTTCTCTTTTCAGCCTTCATGCTAAATATTAACTAATCTCTTATTTCTTTTTATGATCTCCCCAGCTGTGGTGGTAAAAGTGCCACATGCTCATGGCAGCATAGTGGAAGTTCCCCTGACCTGCGGAGACTCTTATCAGGACAATGAAGTGTTTTGGAAGAAAAATGGTAAAATAAATAAATAAATGGTTTGATATTCATTGCAGCTAATATCATATTTGCAGAACATCTTCACTGAGGGCTGATTCAGAGCATAATCTTAAACAATAAAAGACACTTGACATTTTGCTATTGTAGTAAAAGTTAACAATGACAAAGGAAGTTTACAAGCCTGAGAGGAACATAACTGATACGATAACTTCTGGATTTCGCAGGGGAGGAAATGACGCCAGCTCTGCAGGGAAACCAGATCACCGTTTTGGTGAAAGAGATGAAAGCAGGAAACTACTCGTGTCACCTCAGCTCTAGTGGAGAGTACCTGAACCACACGCTGATCCTGGTCCAGCTGGATCCAGACAACAGGACTGTCATCCTGGAGGAGAAATCTCCAGGACAAGGTGAGAGGAGAAATGTGAAGGGATGACTAAGAGGGAATCACGGGTTATGGGATCCAAGAAAGATGAAACAAAAAATAGGATGAATGTTGCTGTTCTGTTAGACATACTAGCAATGATCAATTAAAGAATACACATTTATTTTAAATATAGCGAACACTTAAACCTAAATATTAGTGGTTATTATGCTTTTATGCATGGAGTTGTTCTTAACACTGTTGCAAAAAGAGAGTTTTGAGTTTATACCTGGGCTGCACCTTTTCTGTGTTGTTCTCATCCATTTGCAGCTTGTCCCTTAGAAAAGCAGCAGGTTACATCCATTATTTTTTTATTCTTATTCCTACAGGTCACATTTATTGCTCAGCACAGAATTACAAAGGCTCTTTCCACTGCACTTGGAAGAAAACGCATCACAGATCCCACGCTGCTGTGCTCCTGGTTAAGGCACACCGGTAAGGACAGAAGTCTCTCGTCTCCCACTAATTTAAATAAAGAGCCTTAGTACCACTTTAAATAAACTTGTTGCAATACTTTCATAAAGGGGTTATTACCTATTAACTGTTTTAGATCATATTTTATCCATTTGTCTTGAATCCAGTAACACGGAGGAGCTTTCCTGTGTGCTGGATGCTGATGGATTGGGGGTTCAGTGCCAGGATGTCGACTGCCCTTACAAAGAGGAAACACACCCCATCCACTTCACCATTTACATGCACAGCTACTCTCGCCTGGAGGCCTACACAAAGTCATTCTACCTGAGAGAGATTGGTAAGTCCTTTTACAGAAATATCTGGGTTTGATGTTATGTTTTTTGCATTTAGTGATTACATATGTGATCATGTTTTTCTGACTTCTAATTCTGAGATTTACCCGCTTTTCTTGACTTCATCTCTTCATATTGTATCCAGTAAGGCCTGAAAACCTCCCAAACCTGCACATAAGTTGTGGCCAGGTGTTCAGCTGGGACTACCCGGACACCTGGGAAAAGCCCCGCACCTACTTCAGCCTCCACTTCCAGGTCAAGGTCGTCCAGAACGGCCAATCCTGCCACACTGAAAAGATCCTATTGGTAACTGAAATTCAAATGTCAATTTAAGATTCTTGTTTGGCCAAATCACTTTATGTTTAAAATGTTATGTCAATTATTTAAGGGGCCTAAAATCACTGAAGAAACCAAGTTTGAAGTCAACATCAAATCAAAGAAGTATGTCTTCTGTGTGAGAGCTCAGGACAAATTTACCCAGGGACCATGGAGCCACTGGGCTGAGTACACGTAAGTGCTTCAGTCTACCTTATTCAAATATTTTTTTAAAAAAAGTTATTCAAACTATTTCGAGTACTAAACTAAATTTACTTTCCCCCCACTTGTTTTAATCATAATTATTTCTTTTTCTCCAGAGTGAACAAAAACATCATGAACTGCCATTCCTAAAATGAAGCAAGTTGGGCAAATGTGACAACTATTTTAAAACCAGTTTCAATTTGTTAAGCCCTGCTAAAAGTGAAGTGAATGTATACATGTACAGTATTTATTCCTTTTTATTTAAGTTACTTTTATAAGTTTACAGTGGATGAAAACCTTTGTGAATTACTAAATTGAATATTGTTTATTTTTTAAACTGATTTTCCAAAATGTTTTTTCTTTTATATTTCATAATAAAATCCAGCATCTCTATATCTTGTGTGCATCTTAAGTAAATGATTATCTAAAAAATACTTTCTTCACTGCACAGAAAATAATCTACAAATGGAAAACATTCAAAGCAACAAGTTTAGTGAACAAGTTCACTAAACTTGTTCTGTACAGACAATATGCAAGTCCAACCAAAAAGTCACTGCACAAATCAAATCGGAGGTGTGCAAGAAATTAACTCTTTAAGGAAAACATAAAGACCAGATTAATATTTGCAAAGTGAACAAAGTCAAAGACCAGAATTTCTGGAAAAACATTCCTCAAACAAATATGACATAGGCTGAATTATTTGAACAGGTTTGGCAGAAAACAAATACAACAGGCTGGAAACACCACAGAAAACATTAAGTAAAGGCTACAATTAGGCATAGATCGCACCATATTTATGTGTTACAATATCCCAGTCAAAGGCCAGATTGAGAATCTACTGCATGACTCTACATATGCAAAACTGAAACATTATGCAAACTGTAGAACATGGAGGTGTGATGGTGTAATGACCATATGCTGCAGCAGGACCTGGTCAGCTCACCATCATTGAACTGACCACGGATTCTACTGCAACTCAGACAGTGCTGGAGACGATGTGTAAAAAAGAAAAACTAATTTTAAAGAGTTAGAGGAGCAATGAACAGCAAAGACAATTTTGGTACAAAAAAGTTTTTATGGTTAAATTTACAGAAAGTTCATAAGAAAACAAAAAGTCAGACAATGACATCATCACATGAAATAATAAACTACATCTTTGTCTATAACTTAAAATGAAATTTGGTAACAACTGAAATAGTCTAAATTAGACTTACACTGTTTGGTAAAAACTTTTGATACCAGAAAAAACAAAAGCAACTGATCCTTTTTTGAATGAGTGTTTTAAAGTGCTCCTGTACAAATTGCACACAAAAAGACACCCAAAACAAAAACAGAACAAACACATTTTTGGGCAAATACACATCAACACCCATCCAGCCTTCACCAGCGCTGCACACTTAACTCATATTATAGCAAAACATGCATTGAAGTCCATTGTAATGGTCAGTGATGTAACCAGTGTCAAAATGTTATGAATATTATTTTTTATCTCACAGTAGTTTTAATGGTTATTGCATATTGTTGTAAAGCAGTGATCAAATCTGCTTTTGGTTTGGACCACTGCTCTAAAAAAAAAAAGAAACAGGTACAAACAAACCAACCAAGGTTCTTCATTACAACCAAGAGATTTTTTAGATATGCAACAAACACTAATAGCCGCTAAACCAACTGACTCCCTGCACGCTGAAAACACTTCAATACCTGTTATGAGATGTGATATTTGAGCTTCCTGAAAACAGAGAACATCACCCTTAATTTCCTCCGACATTCATGTGACAAAACAGATGTAAACAATTGTAGAAATCTGTAGGCCACTGTGAACTTGACTGAGTGTTATAGCCATCTATCATCAGCTGATAGTCAGTCTGGAGTTTGTCACAGCAATAAAAGCAAAGAAAATATTCAGACCAAGAAGACCATGCAAATATATAAAGGAGGAAGGAAGCTAGCTCTGGGAGTAACAGTGTTGGTGTCTGCAACATTATGGGTTAATTGATGGTCTAAATCCAACAAGGTTATTAGGAGAGACGGATTTGGGTGTGTGTGTGTGTGTGTGTGTGTGTGTGTGTGTGTGTGTGTGTGTGTGTGTGCGTGCGTGCGTGGGTGGGTGTGCGTGTGTGCGTGCGTGTGTGTGTGTGTTGGGTATAACTAAAAGATGGGGTTGTTGTTTCTAGCCCAAGTGTTTGTGGATAGTTGACTCTTTCCTCAGTGCTGCTGCTTCTTGGATAAGTACCTACAAAAACACACAAATAAGATTACTTTCACTTCACAACCTATAAATGTTAGGAATATACAGTATCTTAAAAAAAACTATCCATGAACCTTCTGTCAGCCTACCTCTCCCAATGTTTATGATTAAGTCCACTGAAGTCTTCAAGTTTGGCGATTTCTTTCAGGTACTGAGCCAGTTTAGAGAGCTCTCTGTCCTTCTCCCTGTTGAGATGGGCCTTCATGAAGGGTCGGATCTAATAAACAGCAGCACAAAGTAAAGTGCAAGTCACAGCAGCATATGTGGATCACAGAGTCTATGCAGAAGAGGAAAAATCACAGCTGACCTTTAGTCCATTCTGTGGATTCATGAGAAAATTTCGTCCGATGTCATCAAACATGATGGTGTTCTTTCTGTTGTAAAACTCCCCATACTTTCCCCAGATCACACCTAAAGGCTTCACCTGCAAATGCACATGTCATGGAAAACAAAAGGTAAGAGCAGTTATTATTGCAATCACCCTAAACAAGAGGACACTTACAGTGCATCTAAATCAAATGAACTAACCCGAGTGAAGATAGGAATGAAACAAGAAACGTTTCAGGTGTACGAACCTCCACCACCCCTCTCTTCGGGGTGTGTACTGTGATCATGGCTCCGCTGTCCAACATGAATGTGATCTTGTAACTTGGGTTATCCGTCACTCCCAACTCCTGCATGTATGGAAACACACAGCTACAGTATGTACAGCCTAAACTCACTGTGAAAGATTGTTTAATACTGCCACCTTCTGGCAAGATCTTGGTACTATGAAATTGGAAACAATTGTGGGTTGCATTGGATCTACTCAATGTGATGAGAAGGGGGAGTACATTGGATTTGTGAGACAATGTTTATGTATGTAAAACAATTATTTTGCAATGTCTTTACTAATTATTTTGTACAATTTATTGGTTAGAGTAAAATCCCAACCAATAAATAAATCCCTTGTATCCAGGCATAGCAGAATGTTTAAGAAAAACTGGCTTAGGCAAAATTACAAACTTTGAAAAAAAAAAAAAACAAGGGGAATACTTGCTTTCATCTTGGCCTCAATCCACTTCATACTTGTAGCAGCTAAATATAGAAAGCACAAGTATACATTATTAAACCCAGGAATCTTGAAAGATGGAGATAAACACACAGATTTTTCTACATTTGACAAATATTACCCAACTTTTCAATTCATTAGAAGGCTACACAAAAACAAATTCAAATAAAAATTGAAAATATATATTTTTTTATCAAATCAATTCCTAAATTTCAAACCAAAAAGATGCAGAACAAATTTCTGTTAATTATAATGACCACAGCTTAATACTAATGAAAACTGTAATAATGCGGCTTCCTCAATACCTCAGCAGAGCCCAAAGCTGATAACCTCCATGTCACGCAGCATGGATGCAAAATTTATGCAAAAGTAACCTTGTTCAAGTATTGAGTGCATATACTGTACAGTATATGGAGATACTGCTTAGTAGGACATTACATAAACTAGGATACATTTAAAGACTATTTTTCTTTATCAGGTGTAATGTTCAAGTTCTCAAAAAAACTGAACTTGTACTTGTGAGTTTTATTAGCTGTAAGACATATTACTCAATTTACTCAAAATAAACCCTAACTATATCACTATGTGTACTGTACAATGATGCACCAGAAGCAGCTGAATTAGAAAGATTTGCCAGCCAAAACTTTAACTTTTATGTTCTCACACACTTTTCAGTTCATCAGGTACACAAAAACGACTAATATATGGCCTATTTTCAGGAGCAAATGATCACTGCATTAACACAGAAACCTGCGCTATGTCATATACAGTCATATTGGGGTTACCTTTTGACATTTAAGTAAGTATTAAACATATGTTTTCTTGAGCCCATATTTATACAGCAATTCTTTACTGGTCCGATGTAATGTTCTAATTTTATCTACTATATTTTTATTAGCTGTAAGACGAAACTCATTCTAATTAACAAAAATAAAGGCCTGAAAACATCAGTTTTTGTAAGCTACGGGAAGTGTTTCATGAAATTAACTTTTCCGTAATATTCTAATTTATAAAATGGGCCTGTAGATGATGAAAACCTATTTTATTTTGGTTCATCTTCAAATTTTGCCAAGGACTTTTTTTTAGTCATATTTATCAAAAAACTGTTCACAGGCATCTAAGGAATGTTAAAACCATTGTTTCCATCAATATAACTAAACCAGAGACGAGACGGTACTTACACCAAATGACAATGTCGTAATCCTCATAGGCAGATGTGAGAAACTCATGAAGGAATGGTCTCATCAGCTCCTGACCCGTTTCGGCACAAGACTTGTGATCTAAAAACAAATAACATCAATTTCCAGGTTCAAATGATGAGGTGATGTGTTGCCAAGGAAACCAAAACTTTGAGGATTATATCTTAGTCAGGTTCTGATATCTTGGCTCTAACTCACCAAACAGAGTGTAGTCCACATCCAACACCAGGAGCCTCTTGCCTTCTCTGGGAGGATTCAGCTCCTCGACTTTATAGTCTTTGACTCTGCGAGCTATTTTAGCAAGATTCTCCTCTCTGAAGATCCGAAAAATAAAACAAATGTCTCCTTTCAAAATATTATCTTATTTTATTAACCATCTGCAGTCAGGCTGTTAAGTTTCTTACCTGTTCTCTACCTCTATGACTTCCTCCTCAATGTCAAAATCATTTACAACGTCGTCATTGTCTGGGGGAGGAGCTAAAACATCTTCCTTTAAAATGACAAATGAAAACAAATATACATGTGTAACAGTCACCATTCAGGCAGAAAAAAATCTTAAATATATCCAGTTATAAATTTACATACACTCATCATAAAATGCTGTCAATAATTTTCCACATTTAATCATCTATTAAAATATACAAATTCCTTCTTACAGCTAAAAATATTCATTCCCTCAGTGGTATGATTATACAACAAAAAACTTCTAAGACACTTCTGCTATTTTTAAAAAAGAAAAATTGAGCTGAGAGTGGATTTTCTCTACTCTAAGCATACATATGCGATCTAAAATATAAACATACACATGTGATATTATTTGATAAATGTCCACACACATTTTGTAGCATTTGCCATATGGCTGAAGTGGAAGTAGTTTCAGAAGTTTTTGCAATCAGTTTTATCCAGAATTTGTGTGTGCTTGGGATTATTGTCCTCTCTGGGTATCAACTGTCCAACTGTAAAGTTGAGGAAATTAAAGGTTTTCTGCCTTCTTTACCTCTGCTCTCACCCTTCCACTTACCAGGCTTTCTTCTCTGGTACCCATCATCATAATTTTGGTATTAGGCTTTAGTTTCAAAGAACCCAGCTTAACCTCATCCTCTGCAGGTTTACCTGGAAATAGGTATAAGAATTAGAAGTCATATTAATTATGATGCTAAGGGATTTATCTGTGCACTCTTACCTTTTATCTTTAGTCCCAGTAGTTTCTGTCTCTCTGGTAACACCCCAGTCAGACTCTTGATAGACTGTTTCAGGTCCATCACAGTATCCTCCTCAGAAAGAGAACTGATGGAGTACTCCTGCCCTCCCCACTTTATGATCACTGACACAGACATGGCTTATACGGGCTCTTCACGAACATGCACGACACTGGAGCGCACCCACAGACCTTTGTGCACACACCTGCTGCAGTTTCAACCAAGACTAACAAACATCCACACCTTGAAAACAGAGGGATAAAGGCAAAGTAACAGGAGAGGTGTTCAGTTCGAAACAAAACACGCAAATCAGTGAAACAGCAAGAGAAACACAAAGTAAATCTTCAATTTATTCGGGTATTTAAGACAAACAATCTTATTCCTTCCGAAGAGAGAGGACACTTTGATTATTTTTAGCATGCGGTGGCTAATAGTGACTAGCAGCAATGTAAACACGGAGGGAATTAGAGCATGCTAGCATTAAATAATAAAAAGAGCCTGGTAGCTCTTACAGTTCAGAGCAAGCTAACCTGGAATACTTGACTGTAACTCCAGGGATTTGACAGAAACGTAAATGAATGAAGTTCTTGCGTCCGCTTCATTCATCGATAGATAAATGCCGTGCTCTTCCTAGCGTTCCTCTGCCTTTCCGGTAGTGACGTAGGAAAAAGACTGTTCCCATAGTGACCGCTTGTCAACAGATTCACAACGATTTGAAACAGGTTTCAAACAAATAATATCCTTTTTGAACTACGTTTTTGTTTCTGTATTTGTTCCTTCCAAACCTTTCAGATGTGATTACGTTTTGAACTTATTTTGATTGTATTTTCATACAACTTCTGTAAAAATAATTTTAGCAATGCCCTTTTTTTTTAGCAATGCCTTTTTTCACCATTTCTCTGTTGGAATCCCATTAAGTCTGGTTATCACAGAATTATTGAAGGGACAGGTTCATTATACCAGCAGTAAAAAATGTGGTAATTTGATGGCTTACTGGTGGAACCAAGGACTCTACTTTCTAGCTCAAAATCATGAACAAGAATGTTCATCAGTCAGTTGATTAAAACCAATAATATATTTTTGTGTGTGTGAATTGGTGCTTTAACGTGTTTGTCACTTTGCTGCTGTTACACCTGAATGTCCCCATTGAGGGACAATATGTTATTTCTACTGTATTTCATTCTGAAAAAGCAAAACGCAATAAATGTGAAAGAAAGCTGATATTGCATCCTGAAAATAAATATGTATAAATGAATAAAATGTCTCACTTTTTTGGATGAAATTAACAAAAAAAAACTAAAATATTACATTACACGTCTAAAACGGTTCAGTTAATCCGATTTTATTTTAATCAGAAAATCAAAAGCTTTCTTGAGAGAAATTAAGTGCAAAAAACATCTTGTAAGTAAACTGATATGATACTGAGAGGTTTAATGGGACAGGCTGTGCTGCGCATGCTCAGTGCATCCCCACGTACTGTGGTTAATGGCTGCCAGGAAAGATGAACGGATGGGCCGCGTCTTCTCGCTGTGAAGCACACCCATCTGGAGGACCGTTATCTCGGGTGGTGCTGAGTTAAAATGGTCGATACACGACTAACCAGCCACCCAGTATCAGTTTTTCATACTTGTGAACATCGACCTTGAAGCGTAAGTTCTATTTTTTACCCCTGTTAAATGTTGGCTTAGCGCTGTAGCTAGGAGTACAGTGTTTCTGTCATTCTGCTGCTCGTTAACTGCGCTTCAGTTGGACTGTCTGACGAGTGCTTCCGCTGTTTACCAAACGCTTCATTGTGTCGGCTTTCACTGGTGTATTTGTGAAAAATAATGGGTTGTGGGTCGTTATTAGCTGCGGCTTTGTGGACGCAGCTAACGGTCTTGTTAGTCTGGCTAGCTGACAGCAACACTAGCTGACTACGTCGGCTTTTATTGTTGGCACTGCGCCGCTTTCTGTTCCGTGCTGCTCATCACCTCCACAACGCACATATACTGTCACTGCTGGTTGTTTTCCAGTTTAAACTGTAAATTTGTGGTTTCTTGGTCTACCAAATAGCTGTTATTTGATTTGTATTTTCCACGTAGCAGTGCCCCGTAAGGACTGATCTAGTTAGCAAAGTGTTGCATTCTTTCTTTTGCAGCTTAAGCTCGAGGGTTTGTTTCGGTCGAGACGGAGGGGTTACTAGAGTTCATGGCACGTACAGCAGTCAATGCAGCACTCAGTCAACCATAAGATTTTAACTTCAGATAGAAAATTACAACTGCACTAGTCAATGTTTTTTTTTTTAATTTAGCATAGCAGAATTGGATGTTGTTGCTTTTTGCATCTTATATTTCCTTATTTTCATAGGCGTTACCAAACATTGTGATTCCTGGATGACAATATGTCAACGTTGTGTCATAAAAAAGAGGAACATTACAGATGGAGATGTGTTTAGATTTCTGGTTTAAAGGGGTTGTTCTTTTTTGTATAAAAACAGTTACTTCCTGTGTAGTAAGCAATAGATAAATTAATTGCATGATTAAAGTAAAATAAGCTCAATAATTTCCATTTTTCATAATTTATTGTTTTTATTTTCTTCCTCTTTTTACCAAAAACTGAATGAAAAAAAAATTCATTCTGGTGCTTTGGTCTCTACTAACCATTTTTTGAAGAACTGTTTTGTTTACAGAGACTTCATAATTCATTGTATTTGTTGTTTTGTTTATTTCTTTTAGAAAAATTTAATTGTCGTCCACTTCCAGTGTTAAGTATTCATTAGAATTTAAACTTTATTGATCTTTGAGAATGTGTTGTAGCATTAATAAGCCATCATTATTATAATACCTGAAAATAGTCTCAAAACAATATTATTGTTTATCCCAGTAACTTCTGCAACAATTTATTGTCCAGCAAAATTTGTCATTGTGACAGGCCTTGACATAACAATTTTTTTTTTCAAAGGTCTTTGGGCAAGTTGTTTAAAAATACTATCTTGCATTCAATGTTCAACTTAAAAGGTATTTATGCATCTATATTATTTATTTTGACAATTTTAAAACAATATGTGAAAAAAAAGTCACTACTTCTTATTGAGAGTCAAAGTAGTTATTCTTTATTTTCTATTCCAAAAATCACAAATGTATTTAATATGCCACGTATACAGGTTTTATCTAAAGGTGTAAAAATGTAATTTATTTAATCAGAAAATAAGAAGCTGGTGTGGACATACATTTCATTGGCATGCATAATCTGAATCCATTTATCAACCATCGATATTGTAATGATTATTGCAGAACAATATATTGTTCAACTCTACTTTTACTATTAAAATAGTTTTGTAATTTTAGTCTGAATAAAAACATACCCAAAATATGTAACATTTAGCTACATTTAATTACACATTTAGTTATTTTAACTTGCAAACAAATAAATTGGGTAATTATGTCTTTAATGTCATTAAAATGTGTAAATAGTTGAAACTGGGTTCAGTGTTTTTCAGGCGTGAATGTATTGGGACAGATAAGTTGTTACAGACATTGTGCTGTTATATAAGAATAGATTCTGAAAAACAGTCTCTGTCTAGTGAATTTAGTTACGTAAGTTCTTAGCATCCTGTCCCAGAGCTGCAGGGTATTAACCAATGGAGACTCTCACAAATGTGAACAACACCAGAAAAGTCTTGCTGTTGCATCAATAATTTAGGTGTCGCATTATGGTTTGCCAAATGCATAAGTCTGATTCCTATGATTTCTACTGAGAATCAATTGAAATAATTGTAGATGTGGAAAATGGCATCTTAAATGAAATGTTTTTACTAGTAGGTTTCAAACAGAATCATATGATGTCGCAGTCAGCAGGTTTGAGGAATTGTCTGTTTGCTTTTAGTGTGGGAACATGTTGCACCTTTACTTTTCTGCTTTGTATAGAAGTACACCAAAAAAGAAAATGTAAACTGTAAACATGCATGAAAAATATTGTGGAAAAAAATTAATATCTTTTGTCAGTCATGTCAAAAAGTTAAACTCTCAATTCATTTTACATAGACATATTTTGAAGATTAAGGTAATAAAAAACCCAAATTCATTGTCCCAGAACATTAAAATATTATGGCATATTTATAGAACGTTAAGTAGAAGAAAAAGTGCAGTATGTAAACTTGCAGCAAGAATAACTGCAGTCTTGCAAAATCTATTAAAGAATTTAAGGGCAATTCAGAAGGAGTGAACTGAGGCTGAGCGCATCAAGGACCACTTCAGACAGACAAATCAACACCACAGGCTACAAACGCTGTATTACTTGTGTCAAGCCATTTCTAAACAAGAGACTACGTCAGAAGCGTTTTACCTGGGCAAAGGAGAAAAAGGTCTGAAGTGTCACTTAGTGGGCCAATTTCCACATTAAGTCTTCAATTTGATTTGGAAGTCGATTTTCCAGAGTGTGGAAGAAGAATGGAGATGCACAAAATCCGTGTCGTTTGAAGTTCAGTTTCTACAGTTAGTGATCATTTTAAATGCTATGTGATCCGTTGATTCTGGTCCACTGAGTTTTCTAGAGTTCAGAGGCAACCAGCCGTCTACCAGGAAATTCTAGAGCACTTCATGGTTCATTCTGCTGATACGCTGTGTGGAGATCCTGATTTCATTTTCCAGCAGGACTTGGCACCTGTCCACACTGCCAAAGGTACCAAAAGCTTGTTTGGTAACTATGGTGCCACTGTTCTTGATGGACCTGCAACTGGGCTTGACCTGAACCCCATAGAAAATCTATGTAGTATTGTCCACAGGATGAGGAGGTACTTCAGAAGGTTGTTCTCCTCAGTACGACACTGCAGTGATATAATAATTCACGCAAAAGGAATTCTAACCATTTATTGAGTTTATATTAATGAACATAATTTTCAGAGGCATAACATTTCTTGTTAAAATTAGTGATGAGTAACTGAGGCCATGAAGCGTTTCAACCCATAGCAAAACTATATTGATACTGTGTCACTGAATACTGACACCTGCTGGACCTTAAAAATCCCTGCAGGCAACATAGTTGACAGACTGATTGGATGACCTAGTCTATACAATAAGATTTAAGTCATTGTATTTTATTGTATATTATATATTGTATTATGTCATATCTTCAGTTAAATTCAAAATATACTTGATATTCTTAGATACAGTAAATAAATAATGTGAACATGTACCATTAACTGAAAATTTAATTGAACGTGTTTGGGATGAGGATGCTTATGGACTGGAATTTTTTTCCACAAATTTTCATTCAAAAAAATAAGTTTTTCCAACATTTTCAAACTTAGTCTGTCATGGTTTTTTGACACAACTTCTGCTGTAGAACAAAATGAAGTAAACAACACATTTACATGAAATGATTTATAAAAAGCAACTGAGTAATTTGTAGAATGGCTGTATACCTGAGTTTGTCGTAGGTGTATCTGGGACTCATTCTGATGCCTGGCCTGATAATGTCTCAGCTTTGAGGAGGTGGATTTATTTAAGTAAGACAGTTATGTCAAACATATGCAACACTTAACCCGCAGAACATAACATGAAAGTAAACTAAGAGCCAATTTCAGCTGAATTTGGATTCAGAGAGATCGAGTAGAAACTGAAAAGAACCGGATAAAACAACAATGAAGTGATAACCAATACC